CACGAACCTGTGTCCCCTGCATTGGCAGGCGGACTCTCAACCACTGCGCCACCAGGGAAGCCCGCAAGATTCGTTTTTTGTTGTGTTTAGCATGAGGTAAAATTGTCCCAGGAATTTCAGTCAAGCGTTCATCAAACTAAGTGTGGTTGTTAATATTTGGGTCGGGGACAGGAATGAATAATTCATATTTCTCCATTGAGAGAGGGGGAAATAGAGACAATTGGCTAACGTTTGTCAACTAAGATGCCTTCCTAGGACTCTTCTGGAAAAAACTAAATGGCAAGCTTTTCATATCTATGTTTTGGTGAGTAATACTGCTATTGGCTATTTTTGCTCTGGGCTTCTGAAACTCCAATTTCTAGTCAAGAAACTGCATTTCTGGGCTGTGTGTGGAGCATTGCCTAGGAGTTTGGTTTCCTGGGTTCTTTTCATCTGCTCTCCTGCAATGCAGGAGGAGCCTAGCCTGGTGTCCAGTTTCTGACTGGAGTTACCGCAGGCAGGCCGAAAGAGCTGCTAGCCACTGAGCTGTGAGTAATTTGCTTTTGAGAAGTAAATAGAACCTCGCCAGTAGAGAACCCAGGGGTGTGGCCAGTAAGTAGTTCTTTTCCCAGACTCCTCCCTCCCCAGCCCCGCAAGTGACCGTAACCTTCTTTCAAGGCTGGAGAGCAGCCAAGTCCAGCCTAAACAATACTCTCAACCTCATTGGCTCTTTTGCCTTGCGGCCACTACCACCCCCAAGTGGCTAAGGCCCTTCCCACTGGGCCTCTCGGTGGGGTCAAGGTTTTCTAACTACCGAAAGGCAAACACCGAAGAAAGGGTGAAAAAGACCTAGTATCCGTGGCCTTTAAATGATCAGCATTTGGCTCCTGAAATTGGGAGGAAGGGTGGGGTCCTTGTCCCAGGGTGGATGGGCATCCTCAAGTGATATGTATGGCCAGAGCCAAAAAGGATGCTTCTGGTAAATGTCCAAGACCTGATTGGTGCCACCCCTAGTTTCAGCATGGATTTAAGTGTCATCCAGCATCCTTGGAAACTGCCAACGAATGCCCATGAAAAGAATCAGCACGAAAAGAACTAGCATAAAGTTTGGGTAAGGTACAGCTGCCTGTCATCACAGGCATTAGCCCTGCCTGCTAACAGCAGGCAGTGACAGAATCAGAGGCCAGTGTGCTCACTTTTGTCCCATAATGGCCTGGCCTCAAAGCCAAGATCAGGATCAGCTACTCCGTCATTCCCCTAAGATTAGGACCACGGAAAGTTTGGTGTCTGGAAGCTGAGTTACTGAGAGATGGCCAAGGCCATCTCCAGATGTGGCAGCAGAGCAAGGCAGCTACAGAGAAAAATGAGTCGTCAGCTTGCTCCAGGGAAGTGAGTGCTCCATGAGAACTCCCAAACTTCCTTCACATCTTCAGTGGGAAAATCACTTGCTCCCCTTTTTGTTCAGGGAGTTGTAACAGTGCACCTTTTTTAAAAATAAAATGTTTATTTATTTATTTTTGGTTGCGTCGGGTCTTAGTTGTGGCACGTTGGATGTTTCATTGTGGCGCATGGGCTTCTCTCTTGTTGTGGCGTGCGTGCTTCAGAGTGTGTGGGCTCTGTAGTTGCGGCACTCAGGCTCTCTAGTTGTGGCGTGTGGGCTTAGTTGCCCCACGGCATGTGGGATCTTAGTTCCCCAATCAGGGATTCAACCCGTGTCCCCTGCATTGGAAGGCGGATTCTTAACCACTGGACCACCAGGGAAGTCCCTAACAGCTCATGTTTATCAAGCACTTTGTGCCAAGCACTATAAAATCCATAAGGTAGATGATGTTATCATCTCCATGGCGACAAGGACTGTGTCTGTCTTGCTTAGTGTTACAGCCTCACCCCCGTCACATAGTAGGCACTCCTATTTCGTTGAACAAATCAAAAACATAAAACTGTAATTTAATGGAGGAAAGAGTAGGTAGGAGCTGTTAAGACTTGGTGTGCCTTATGTAGAATTCTCGGCATAGCCCGTAAAGACTCTTAGTTGTGTGGAAAAAAAAGGAAGAGAGGGAAAG